CCTACGATGGTCTTTCCTCCCGCCTGGTTGAGGAGGCCGGGTTTCCCATGGTCTTCCTAGCCGGGTACGCGGTTGCCAGTTCCTACGGTCTCCCCGATACGGGGTACATTGCTATGGCTGAAATGTGCGACAAGATTCGCGATGCCGTCCGGCAGGTGTCAGTTCCTGTTATGGCGGATGGTGACACGGGGTATGGCAGTCCATTGAACGTCAAGCGGACAGTGGAGAGCTTTGCTGCTGCTGGTGCGGCTGGGGTTATGATTGAAGATCAGCAATGGCCTAAGAGTATGCCTGATTTTCTCTTTCTATTCTTGTGTGACATACTAACCACTTTTAGGATGCGGCCACACAAAAGGCAAGAGCGTCGTGTCGCGCGAGGAAGCCTTTGCTCGGATTAAAGCCGCCTGTGACGCGCGCAATCAGGGCCTAGATATATTTATTCTGGCACGGACGGATGCTCTCATCCACGGGTGGGACGAAGCTATGTCCCGAGCAAACGAGTTTCGCCGTCTCGGTGTCGATGCAGTCTTTGTTGAAGCTTTGCCGGACCGTGAGGCCATGACACGCTGCGTGCAAGAAGTGGGCATTCCGACCTTCGCCAATATTATTGAAGGCGGTAAGACCGAAAACTTATCGGCCAAGAACCTCGCGGAATTGGGGTTCTGCGCTGTGGCGTATCCGTGGACGTTGGTCGCCGCACATTTGCGGGGACTCCGCGAAGCCCTTGATGGGTTGAAGCGGAGCATGACGGTTGGAGCGCCGCCTATGATACTGACATATGACCAAGTTTGTGAAGGTGTTGGGTTTAATAAGTACTGGGTGAGTGCTATTGTTCATGCTTTTCGCTTTCGGTAACTTCTGCTAAATGCTAATGTTCACAGGAATTGGAGGAGAGATATAAGTACGAGTGAAGATGGGAGACGAAATTTGGTAGTGATAAGATCATATATCAGGTCAAGGATGCATAAGTGTAGTTAGCTTTCTTCCAAACTTCAAGTAATACAGGTGGTGGGCTCTGGGGTAACTCCTTGTGAAATTTGTTGTGAACTATATATCCCATAAATGGAGTAGTATATATCGATTTTATGAATTCTAGTGGCTGGTCTGCTTTTGGATATGGGTAGGGTTATTTCGGGTATTGGAGATATTTGTACAGGCTATGAATCTCTCTCAACTTTCACCTTCTTGGGGGCGGAGTATATAACATACAAATACATAGAAGCTGGAGAAACTACCTTATCCTAACCTAATGTTGGGCTATCAGTACACGATGCAAGATGGCTAGGGATTTAGAAATACTGTGATCAAAACGCAACGGTCCAATGACGAACGCCAGAAATCGCACACTACTGTGGCTGTGTAGATTGAGCCCGGGTTTCTATAGTAGCAAGGTATTGTTTGCACTGGTATATTTAAGACAACTAAAGTCTTGCCATGAAAACTCTTTTACGGTTTATCCTAACATTCCGATACTGTAAATGCTGCTATAGTAATATTTGTGAACCTTCGGGAATTTAGGTGACTGACCAGCCCCGAATAGCGGCCATCGCTCATTACACTGCTTTCGCGGCCAACTTTATGAACTAGAAGATGGTACTTATCACGGGAGGAGTCTCCGCATCTTTTCTGCGCTTTTATTGGTGTATTTTCATCTGTTTCGATCCTCACGCGTGACAATAATATATATTATGATGCATCCAATCCAGACAAGGAGTTTGATAATGGGAATTGGACATTGTTACCTTTTCTATCCAAGGTGACGGGGCATATTTGTTTGGGTCTACTCGAATACGCCCATGATATCGAAGAAAGATCAATACAAGTCCATTGTACGTGTATCTAGGGACAGAGCTAAACTTCGAGATATCCAGTTCTACCCGGGGGGACGGGTCTGGAGGCCCGCAATTTCACTCGTCAGCCGGACCTAGTATTTCCAGGTTCGGAATATGAAGGACACACTTTGGTGGCTGCCCTTACGGTTACTCTTCTAGTACCCAGAAGCAGTCTTTAGCCGAAGCTTTCCCAAGATGATGGCATCTCAATTTGCAGTCCCTCCTATGAAGCGGTATTGCGACAGGGCATATCACTGTATATAAATTGACCTAGGTAAACAGCCTGTGGCAGATAGTATCCACGTCCCCGTTGTGTTTGAGGCCTTCATCTCTAGTGCGAAGAGCATAGCGACTCCAATTATCGACGGGTAATTGATAATAGCCGCGCAAAAGCAGTCACGCAGGTACCCTAAATACCTTTCTGCCAAACGTGCTGCTTCCGGGCAAAAGTGACGCAAGCTGTGATGCCGATTGATTGATCAACCCCAATGTCTAATATCTTGGCGTCGATTGGGCCAGAGGGCCGTGGGGGGTGATCGGAATGCGCAGATCCCGATTACTCATCAACCCTTTCTTCTCGGCAGTTTCGAGTTACAAATTCCCGCATAGGGCTTGAACCGAGTACTGAGCTCTATGAAATGCCACTGCGCGCAAGAAGCATTTTAAATTGTTCAGCATCGAAAATATGACATTATTATATCTCATATAAGGTGAATTCTCAGGTGGTATCACTGTTTTCTACATCCAAACTACTATCATCACTTAATTCTTCGCCTGACCGTGGATACGTCCGTGACTGGAAACTCCGTCACCCCTGCAGATCGGCTCTTTGTATGCCTTGGCTTTGACTTGGCATCAAATCAATTTCTACCAGAAATTTTGCCCAGTAGCTGGAATAGCCAACAACAAGAGCTGGAGCTTTATCCACCTTATTATGGCGTAATTCATGGACGCGTGTGCTGCAGTAACAATATGCCACAGGAGGGGTTCAATAGGCACTGAGGCATAGCAACCAGCCCTGAGCGAGCCCAGCTTTTAGATTGCTCTAGATGAGGATTTGACTGGTGGATGTATTTGGGTCCAAACATCGAAACATGAGTGTGGGACGGGATGACGTTCCCTTTTAGACCTAGATGGTTCCATTGTCGCCGATGTTGGAGTTGGAGTTGGAGTAAAAATGACCTATAAAGACCATGAGCTCCTAGGAAATATCGAGCCGATAAATTGCAGCTCAGAATTCACTCTTCAATTGCTAGCTTCACTCCTTCCAGACACCCATCAAGATGGTTCATATTTCTTCTCCTTTGATCATCAGCGTCGCCGTGCTGGCGTCTCTGGGACTTGGTCATCCCGGACACGATGTCAAGCATGAAGCTGCTGAACGGGCAGCGTTCCTCAAGCGTGCACCTGTGCAGTCACGCAGCCTCGCTCAATGTGCTTCCACCCTCAAGGCTCGTGGAGTTGAAGATAGTAATGTCGCTCGGCGTGCGAATGCCCTTCAGCACTTGCGTCGGGAGAGGGGACTGTCCAGTAAGTACTGGGCTAGAAGGGACATTTCCTTCCCTTAATTGATACCACTTTATCCACACCCAGTACAGTCTCAACTAATAGGTTAGGCCCCCAATACCTCAAGGCTCGTGATCTGGACTCAGTCCTCGCCACTGATCACCATTCCAACTTGACCGGTATCAACCCATCAACTGACCCAAGTGCCATCTTCGCATCCGGCGGCACCTGCATCGTCCAGCCCGAGGTGACTCAGGGTCCTTACTGTATGTCTTCTGCGCTATTCCTTCTACTGAAACAAGAACCTTACAATGTACACTGCAGACATCGCCGGAGAGCTCATCCGTCGCAACGTGGCCGAGGACCAGGCCGGTGTGCCCTTGTTCATGGATATTCAGCTCATTGATACCAATACCTGCGAGCCTCTGCCCAACATCTACACGGACATCTGGCATTGCAATGCAACCGTACGAACCTCCTCGACTTCTCTGTTCATCTCAGTTTGACCCCAAGCCACTAACCTCTACCGCACTTTGCGGGAAACAGGGTGTCTACTCCGGTGTAGTTGAGAGCGGTAACGGAAACGCCGACGACCAGGGCAACATCAACACGACCTTCCTGCGCGGCGTCCAGTCCAGCGGAGACGACGGAGTCGTGCGTTTCGAATCGATCTTCCCCGGGCATTATTCTGGCCGAGCGGTTCACATTCACGGTACGTACACCTATACCCCTCCCCAGTCGTTATTCTTCCATCTGCCTCTTGGCTGTTTTGGAAGGCTTCCAAACTAATAAATCGTAAATGCATAGTCGTCACCCACCCCGCCAACGAAACAAAAATCCTCCCTAATGGCACCATCGCCGGTATCTACGACAGCCACTCCTCGCATGTGGGCCAGATCTTCTTCGACCAGGACCTAATTACCGAGGTCGAGAAGACGAGTCCCTACTCGACCAATACCCAGAGTCTGACTGAGAACGCCGACGATAGTATTCTGCAAACGGAGGCAGACACGACTGACCCGTTCATGGAGTATGTTCTTCTCGGTGACAGTGTCTCGGACGGTATCTTCGCTTGGATCTCGATCGGAGTGAATGCCAAGCGCGATGACTCGCTGTCTCCTGAGGGGTACTGGACTGATGATGGAGGTGAGGTCAATGATGATTTTGAGATGAGCATGGCTGGTATGGGAGACATTGCTGCGGCACTTTCGAGCACGATTGCATCTGCTGCTGCTACGGCTTCTGCTTAGTGTTTAGTGATGGTTGTCTAAAGAATGAAATGGCGGACTTGCTCCTAGCCATTGAGGTTAGCGACGGAGATGTAGGGAGATATCCGCGAATTCTACGTTATACAGGTTAAGAAGGTACAATTGATATGTAGTACGGTACTGTCAAAATACAACGGTATACTTGCACGGTTTCATCAATTTCTGAGGATTAATCAGCAAAATGTGGATATTGTTCGATCCTTACAAGTAAAAGTGAAGAAAATCCCTAGACTCTCTGTTACCGAGTTAAGATCAATGACTATCCCTTTAAGTAATCCAAACAGTCCTGTGTAGAATAACATTTCGTCAAGCTGTGCCTCATACTAGCATATATCGAGAAAGGGAGATAAATGGCCGTTTCCCAAACATTACCATATCAAATGACGCCTTTCAGTTAAGCATTCCCGCCGGGGGTATTTCGACGAGAAGATTGGCGAGTCCAAGCTTTATCTGGCCAATCACTTTTCCCCAAGTCTCTCGCTGTGGATATCGTCATGGAGTAGTAGCAACCTTCTGCATTCTCATACCTCGCCCAACTACTAAATTTTGCAGAGCGGGTTGAGCGATTCTTCTCCCACCCCATAAACCCTGAACCACCTTCATGAAAGATTTGCCGAGCAAAATCCACTATATCCCTGTGTGGACAGATGGTGATAGATCGCAAGCTCTTTAAAGGACATCCGGGTACAGTGTAGATCTCATAAAAATTGTACAGGCACAGTCTCTGGTGCGTATCATCGAACAAAAGATCAGTCCTGATTCTGACCCTAAACGAAGGGTTTGCGTTGAACACGCAGGAATGCTGGAAATCTTTATACGGCTTTTGGGTGGGAGGAACGCTACTGGACTTTCCATTGCTGACAGGCACGAACCTTTTCTCCTTTTTGCATAGCCGTATCAAGTTCAGTTTATCAACGAATGTGATTTTCGTACACGGGCAAATGTCAACTTCGCCAGCATATGGCATACAGCGTAGACTGCCTTTTAGAAAGGAACATGCAGAGCAACATTTCGATTGCTTCGTATGCGTTTCCTTCAAATCGCGTAAAGACCGCCAGGTAAAAGCTGGGTGGAGAACTTGACAGTCACTGCAGTATCTCCAACGATCGCTCTCGAGTCGAAGTAGCAACTGTACTCTGGGTTGTTGTTCGATCTTGGCGAATATGTCCTTTCGTTTTTCGACGGGGAGAAACTGATAAAGCTGGGTTTTCTGCTCCTCAAGATAGGACTTGAGACAACATAGTATATATTTGCAGCTTAGTCCGAAACAGATCTGATCTGGGGCGGAGAGGAATGTGAATACTTTTTCCACCAGTCTCGGAGGCAGGGCACTGAATGAGAATCTCAGGCTGTAATTCAAATGGAGCTTTGTCAACATAGATTGCATTGAGTTAAAAGGCCTCCTGGTTTGAGGCTTTGGGGCCATGTCGAAATCTGATAACTTTTCGGACATATTCCTCGGGCAGCCGTTGGATAGGCGCGATATTTCTTCTTGGGTCTAGCGGTTAGAACGTGAGCGATAGCTGTAAGAGAGAGTGAATGCTAAACTTTCAAAGCAATAAATGGGGGGGGAGTCATTCTATTTGTAAGTCATCACAAGATACATGGAACGTCTGTCGACATCATGTCGTAGGTGATGAAATAGATGCGCAAGCACCGGATCAGCTTTCCGCCTGTGGACGTCACCTAGCTCTCACTTCCGGGCCACTGGCTAAACAAAACAATTTGGTAGCCTTCAATTCCGTCAGTCTTGCACAATATGTGGGCTTAGAAGAATGGAAGAAAGCAAGCCGACATGGAGGCCCACATGTGAACATCCAGCGCCGATTCGGGCAGCGAAAGGTAAATATCCCAGTCTTTTATTTCACTATCATGATGATGAATAGAAATCTAGATCTGTATCAGCCCATTCATCCCATGATATTTCTCAACCATGTCACGCAGTAATTCAAGAGTTGATTCAGCTAGGCGTACATGGCGGCTTTATGGAACTTCATCTGGGTAAATTATAATTACTTTCTCATAGTAATTTGTCGCTGGAATTACATATGCTGCGTACAGAAATAATCTAGTACATACGACCACAGGGTGTGGAAAATAGGGCTTCCCGTCCGCTCAGCCGTACTCAAGCCACACGCCGGGAGGTTAGTAGTTGGGTGGGTGACCACCAGCGAATCCCTTCTGTTGTATGTATTATTTTTATTTTTGAACTTTCATAATGCTCTGATTGCTATCAGTAATCAGGTCTGAACACTTTTTGATTTTACATATGCCCCAAAGTGATAGCCGCTCTTGTAGGGACTTCAAAATCCGTAACGAAGACTTCGCGGGCGCTCCCTTAATTTCCGACTTGGCGCCGGCGATGCATGGTGAGAAC